AACTCCGTCTTAGGTTCCAGACCGGTGGAAACATAAACTCCCGTGTCCCCAGACCCAGCGGTGAGCAACTAGTTTTTCACGAGTGAAAATCTTTGATCAATAGCCAGATTCCTGGCGCACCCGACACTCTGGTCAATATCCACAGATCGGTGGCCGGGGAGCTCGGGCGCCGCCTGGAACCCCAGCTCCGACGCTACTGCAAAATCCCGCCGACCCTCTTGTTTTGCATAGTCTTTTCCATGTGTCTCTTGACCCTCCTGCCTCGAGAAGAGATTAGATCCTTAGTTAGTGCCGTAGGTAGAATTCCAGGGAAAAGCCTAAAAGGTACTTGACAACGAGGTATTTTGCAGAGACCATGATGCACTGATGCAGACGGCACTTCTGTTAGTGCCGCTGACTAGTACCGGTAGCCTAGTGGAAAGACGGCAGTCAGACGCATCATTTGTGGCGTTTTTGTAGTGTTGGTGGCATGCGCGATCATATCTCAGCTCTGCCCACCGGCCGACATGTTCGCAGCCGTCTTGTGGGGGAAGCTTGGAGTAGGTATCCTGAGTCCTGGCCCCCTAGCCTGGTTGCCGAGAAGTTCCGGACTAACAGGATTATCAATGGTTTGTGAACAGCGTTCCGCAACAGAAAATCAAGTGAAGCGATGACAGAGGGTCGTACGGCGGGTGTATTTTCTGAAGAGCTCAAGAGACCTAGACTCTGAACGTGAGCATGAGCCGATTTTGCCCACATGGAGGATCCAACCACCTCTAGTCGCCGAGGTCGCTGCCGTCCTTTCTTTGGCGGGAACCCTTTTTCGGTGGTGCTGACAGGCGCAAAGGCGGCCTCGTGGCTCGCGCGGGTGCAAAGCAATCCATTAGTCAAAAGCGACCGGGTCAACCGATGTTCTGATCACTTGGCCACCCCGTTCCTGAGCCAGCCGGGAGCATGCGGAGATTGGTCACAGAGTGGGGGCCGGAATTAGAGACACAGGGTCGTGGATTCGTGGGTTGTCTTTGTGGGCGACTTTTGAGGTGAACTGGGTTGAATTTGTGGTCCTTTACAAGGTAGGAGACTGGGAATAGGATCCTAACGCTTGTTGCAATAATTGCTCGTCAAAATAGTGCGCACAACGAGGTAGCAACGCTGTAGCCGTCAGATGGGCTGGGAGACTGTGGTTAGAAGATTTCTTGCAACAGAAGTGCGCCGAGGTCGTTGGTGGTGGCTGCGGGTAGCCTGATCGAGTCAAGCAGATGTTCTGCTGACGCCCTCTCTCTGGCGGCGGTACTTTTTCACAAGTGAAGAAGAGATGATGAGTGAGAATGAGACAAAAGAGAAAGACCAACTCAAACTCTCTGTCTTGGCAACTTTCGTGCCGAGGAATGGGTGGGCGGATCATGGAATGCGCCACGACGGCTTGGAGGACGTTACCGTTTGCGGTATCGATCGCAGCGGTTTGTGGTGCGAAAGGCGCACGCTAAATCAGATAAGATGGATCTGATAAAAAATTCTCTGATGGCTTGAGTCCTTGATCCCGACACCACCAAGTTTCACGCCACCAACCTGGAGTGTTGGACACATTCAAGGACTTCAACTCCGAGGCTTGAAGACCCGGGGCCAGGGATCGAAGCGGCGCTAGTCCAATAACTAACAAGATGCGAAAAAATCATCACGGCTAGCGCAAGCTGCGTCAGGCTGGATCGACTGGCTCAGTGGTTCGCCCCCTCCCCGTAGGTTCCCAGTCGTGCCAGTCTCTGGCTGCCCACCGAAATGGCTCCGATGGGCAAAGATGGATGGAGCGGCCTTGATTGGGCAGCGTGCAGGCTGTCTGCGAGCCTGAGAGACACTGATAAAGCTCTCTTCGCCATGTCTGGAAAGTTAAAAAGGGTCCTGGATGTAACCTCACCACCTCGTCTTCCCTGTCGTCCCTGCAGGCGGATCCTCTCTCTGAATTTTCTCCCTCTTTAATCCACTACATCCCCGGTCAGGTCATCAGTTTGACCTTGTCTCGTTGCTCTTCTTGCTTGTAAACAAATAGTTGCGCAGTGCGCTCTGTGCAATTGAGCAGACTCGAAAACCAGAGACGCGACCTTCACCTAGGCCCCGAATCTCTCACCTTCTCGGTCAACGCTCACTTCGGCGCATTGACCTTCGGTGTGTCGCAGCTCCTGCCACAGACCGCAAGACGTCACCGGAGCCCCGACTCCTTCCCGAGTAAGTGCCGCCGTCCTTCAACGTCAGCTTCCGTCAGGTCCCTCAAGGTTGCCGGCGCGGAAGTGGAGTTTCGCCGACTTCATCCGGGGATCTTGCGAAGTTCAACTTCATCTCAACTACAACTCTTTCGCGAAAACTCTCTGTTCTCGTACTAACTTTCATCCCAGGCCCTCTCATCATCCATCTCATCTGGGTATCGTAGTCACTCAAGATGGGTCTCTTTGGTCGTAAGAAGGAGACTGAGTCTCCTTCGGATATCGTCTCGCCCACAGCCGATCTCACCTCCGCAGAGAAGAATGCTCCTCTATCCCAAAACAGCCCTCCTCCTCCCACGTATGAGTCCAACAACATCTACGGCGAGAAGTCGCCTGGTGTTGCGAGAATCGAGGCCCTCTCTGCCGCCATCACCACTACCGACCGCTACTTCATCTTCTTCGGCGTCTTTTTGGTCGCCTATGCCTATGGTCTCGATGGAACCCTTCGCTACGCCTACCAACCCACCGCCACGAGCAGCTACGCCACGCACTCCCTTCTGGCTACCGTTAACGTCCTTCGCTCCGTCATCGCCGCTGCTGCTCAGCCCACATCCGCCAAGATTGCCGATGTCTTTGGTCGTGTCGAACTCATCTGCGTCTCCGTCATCTTCTACGTCGTCGGTACCATTGTCGAGGCATGTGCTACTGAGGTTAAGGCCTTCGCCGCCGGCGCCGTTATCTACCAGGTTGGCTACACCATGATCATGCTGCTTGTCGAGGTCATCATCGCCGATATTACCTCCACCCGCGCCCGTCTGCTGTTCAGTTACATTCCTGCGCTTCCTTTCATCATCAACACCTGGGTCAGCGGTAATATCTCCGCCCTGGTTCTCGGCGAAAGCACCTGGCAGTGGGGTATCGGCATGTGGTGTATCATTTACCCTGTCTGTGCCCTCCCCCTCATCATCAGCCTGTCCATTGTCGGCCGCCGCGCTAGGAAGCAGGGACTGCTCGACTCTTACTCGTCTCCTTTCCGCATGCTCGGCCCCAAGAAGTTCCTCATTGAGCTGTTCTGGCAGCTCGATGTCATCGGTATCATCCTGGTTATCGCCATCTTCGCCCTAATTTTGGTTCCTCTCACCATTGCCGGTGGCTTCTCGACAACGTGGCGCGAGGCTCACGTCATTGCCCCCCTCGTCATCGGTATCCTTTGCATCCCGGTCTTCGCTGTGTGGGAGATGAAGGCCAAGCACCCTCTCGTTCCCTTCAAGTTGATGCGCGACCGTGGTATCCTGGCCCCTCTCGGTATTGCACTGGGTCTCAACTGGGCTTGGTACATGCAGGGAGACTACCTCTACACCGTCTGTATCGTTGCTTTCGACTTCAGCATTGCGTCCGCTACCCGGATTACGTCGCTGTACTCCTTCTGCAGTGTCATCACCGGCTTTATCCTGGGCTTCATCGTCTTCAAGGTCCGCCGCCTCAAATACTTTATCATCGCCGGTACCATGCTCTTCATGGTCGCTTTCGGTCTGTTGATCCACTATCGTGGTTCTCCTACCTCCGCCGGACAAAGCGGTGTCATCGGTGCCCAGGTCCTTCTCGGTATTGCAGGTGGCATGTTCCCCTATCCTGCGCAAGCCTCGCTCCAGACCACTCTGAAGCACGAGCACCTTGCAATCATGACCGGTCTCTACCTCGCCACTTATAACATTGGATCTGCCTTCGGCAACACAGTATCTGGCGCTATTTGGACTCAGGTTCTGCCCTCCGTCCTTCAAGAGAACCTTGCACCCTTTGGCAATGACTCTCTGGCTACCGTAACCTACGCTCAGCCTTTTGTTGCCATCGCCGAGTACCCCGTTGGAACCCCCGAGCGCGCGGCCATTATCGACTCGTACCAGCACGTTCAGCGTCTTCTTACCATTACCGGTATCTGCTTGACGGTCCCTCTTATCGCATTCGCCTTCCTCCTGAGGAACCCCAAGTTGAACGACCAGCAAACTCTTGCGGTTGACGACGTTCAGATCCGCCCTGCGGAGAACAATGACAACCTGCCTAGCAAGATTTAAGGATCGAGTTTGGATGTACCAAGACTGCTGATGTAATGATTTCACGTAATTGATTCATGGGTATCCGAAACCCTGTACGAGGCACGATGGGTCGAGTCTTCATTTAGAGATCGTGGTTAGAGATACCATTCACAGAAAGATTTAGTCGTAATTTAATATTCTTCCCAATTCACAATCAACCTTTACGATGATGGTTACGTCTGCGCTTAACCATAACGGCCACTCCTCTATCACGAAGACTATGCCAAGACTGGCTTGACGTAGCAACTGCTTACTTGCGTCTGTGCCAGCCTCCATTGATACCGCACTTTGAGCCCTTCCCCGCACGGAACAACCCGACTTGAATGCAGTCATTCCCTTCATAGTCATTTGAGGATCGACTTCAATTCGTTACCTCTACAAAACAAAGCAAACACGCGCTCTTCTAGGCCTAAGCATCCCCATCGTTCTCAGAAACTAGCTCATGCAGCACATTCCGATTGGCGTTCCTGCGACTTTTCCCGGCTTGACTTACTCCAATGCAACATCGTTTAGACTTCAGCTTACTGGCATATGCACGTACAGGGCTTCTGCATCGCGACAATGGCGAGATCGTTGCCATTCTCGTTGACGAGAAGCTCGTCTTTAAAGAGAGTCTTTGGCGCGTTCCTTCTTCATCGGCTTCTCTCTGCTGTTGTCCCCTCAACTCCTCAAGAAACCCGTTCAACCTCGTCTGAGTCTGGTAGTCCAGATGCCTAGTGTTCTCACAACACCCATGAAGGCCATTTTGGCACTGCTGGCGTTCAGCTCATCTTCACTAGCACTACAGGTCCCTCGCTACGCCACAATTGCCTCGCGAGATGCGGTTGCCGCGACTGACTATGACTTCGTCATTGCCGGCGGAGGCGTCTCGGGCCTTACCGTTGCCGATCGGCTGACCGAAGACCCAAGCAGTAAGTAGAGACCGTGCCATAGTTCATCTACCTCAGGCGTGAATTCTCCACCTAATGCATGTGAAATAGTCAAAGTCCTAGTCATTGAGACCGGGCCTTTCGACAAGGATGAAGACAGCGTCCTCGTCCCAGGTGCCTTCTTGTCACGTAACAGGGATAGTAACCGCATCTCACGAAGTGCCCGTCACGTGCTGAATCACGTGTCTATCTCAGACATCGTGTATATAGACCTTTTCCTTTTGTCTATTTCTACTTTAATATGTTAAGCCACTTTTACCACACTCCGTATGCCCATTGCTGCGTGCCATAACTCGTGACAGT